TTGTCTAACCTAATAATCTGTCCCTGTCACCTCCTGTCATGACATCTTGTTACCAACATGAATAATATAATTGTCACTTAACTGAGTATCATACAAACTATACACAAGTCAAAGAGAAGACCAAACGAACTTGAAAGCAGTCGCATGACGCAAAATCATCAACCAGGGTTCAAAGCTCATGCCAGAGATCACACTAAGTGTAATCCAAGACCCAATGAAAAAGATGAAAAACAACAAAGTACCAGGAGAAGATGGACTCCTAATAGAAGCTAGAAAGATGAGCGGACGTGCTCTTCTCAACCAAATAAAAATTTTGTTTAACCTTTGTCTAACATATTGCATACCACAAATATGGAACAATGCAGTAACAATTTTACTATACAAGAAAGGATACAAGGCGCACCTAAAAAACTATAGACCAATCAGCTTATTGAACCACATAAAATGTTTACTCCAATAATTACGACAAGACTAAAAAAAAAAGTTGGATTTCTACCAGCCCCGAGAATAAGCTGGCTTCCGCATAAAATTCGAAACAAACGATCACCTACAAACATTAAAAAACCTTAATAGAAAAATCGATAGAATATAAAAGATCACTGGTAATTATCTTCGTAAACTTTCACAAAGCCTTCAATACCGTGGAATTAGACAGCACATATTTTGTGCATCCTATTTTGAGAACCATTTCCGAAGTGGAAATTGAAACGTCAATAAACGTATTTTAACTTTTAATTGTGGCTTATTCTCATTTAAATAGTACTTAGCAAATAACTGCTCCAAACAATATTAGAATACACTACCGGCTCACAAAGTTAGTACAAACATTGTACCAAAACGCCACAATGCATGTAAAACTACATGATACCACCAGAGAAATTCAGATAAAGCGAGGTGTGAGAAAGGGGACATTCTCTCACCTACATGATTTATAACGGTCCTCGAATATGCCTTTAAAATGCTGAAGTGTGAAAAATAGGGGAATAAAAATGAGACGGGGAATAAAAATATTTACCGACGATATAGTATTTATTACCGAAGATCTGCGTGAAGCACACAAATGCTACAAAAATTAATTAGAACATTGATGTTAGAACATTGATGTAATTAGAACAGATGTTATCAAGAAAACTTGTACTGGGTCTTCCTCTTCTTCTCTGACGAATGGGTCTATCAAGAGGCGTTTTTCTAGCTGGCTCATTTTGTTCCATCCACATTACATGCCCTATACACCTTAGACGCCCTATCTTAACCCTTAACTTGGCGCGCACATAACCGCTGTAAGAAAAATGTTTTTGCTTACTGAATATTATCTTTAGAGGGCTCCATTTTCATAATCAATTACATTTTTGTTTCTATTTTAATATTTTTTGACATTTTATTGACATTGTATCTCATAAGATACACTGCTAGGCGTACGGTTATATTACAATGTATCTCGCAAGACACATTGCCAGGTTACTATTAAAACAAGTACTGATGACCATAGATACATTGCCAGGTGATTAGAAAAAATACCTCCGTATCTAGAAAGATACATCGCCAAGATGTTTATTTGTCGTTTGGACCAATATATTAAATAAATTGGATTAAATGGAAATTATCAAATTTTCACAAAATTTAATAAAAAACATTAAACAAATCTACAATTATTGTTTCGCTAAGGGTCTTTAGCATTATCACGACTTTTAGCAAAAACAATTGTAGATTTGTTTATGTTTTTTATTACATTTTGTGGAACTGTGCTTTTCTTTAGTTATTATGAAACAGATACCATAAAGTAGGGGTTTTAAACCATAAACATTTACAAATTATTAATAAACTACAAAGATGATCAAACATTTATTTTTACAGATTAAATTCAAAACTTTACATAAAACTTAGAACACTCAAAAAATAAAGTAAAAAGTATTAATAATTATAAGTTGTTAAAAAATTAAAAAAATTAGTTATGAAAATCATAAAAACAATTACGTGATTCCACTAAACATAACCTCGCTCTACATTTTGACATCAACTCGTTGTTGTTTGTCCTTTGCAACAGTTTCGACATCGTCCTTTGGTTGTAAAAGTTGGAAAGTGTCCAAAAAGATCTTTTCTAACATCTTCTCCAGGTATATTCTGGACGTGAGTACGAATCTTTTTTTTTTGGTGTAATAATTCCGTCGGATCTCCTTTTTCTATTTTTAAATAGAAGGGAATCGACAAGTAATATTCTAAATTCTTTTAGACCCATACCATTTTCTTCGTCCTCCAGTAAATTATTAGCTCTGCGATATAAAAGCCAAGCGTTGTTACACATATATCCAGTATTTGGGAAAAAATTGAAAAGGTACCACCTGTGGCTTTTAAAAGGTGTTCGGTTTAAGCGCAACTAGCATATCTGCCAAATCTACGCCACCCATATGTGCATTGTAATGTTTGATAATGGATGGACAGGGTATTTCAATTTTCTTTTTTGCTTCTTTAGAGAATCTTTTAATGGTTACACATAGGATAAGCACTTACTTACATACGAACTGCACACATGGAACGGCCTTGTTATCAAACCACTTTACAATGCAAGTTCTTTTTTCATTATCCACTTTCTGCTGAAAAGATCCTCTTCCTTTTTTTTTTAATTCCGCATCTGTTTGAAAACCACAACCTTGTAGATGATCTGCTCTTAATGTTCCAAGAGATAGAATTCCTTTTTCGTGTCTTAAGTAGTGTACTAAACTAGGGGAGCAGAAAAAATTATCGAAATAAACCATGCAACATTCAGGGGTTTTTATTGTTTGGCAGAGAGCTAATACCGTCTTAGCACCCAAACCAAAAGTTCCTCGTCTATCAGCGAAATATCTATCTACTGATGTATCATCCCCTCCGTAAGGTAAAAAAATCATATACAATTCCAGATACACCACATCTGACGAATAATTTAAAACCCCATTCTTAGGCTTTTTTTTGGCATATATTGCCTTTTACAACCGGCTTTTTGTACCTTGTATGGTACCATCATCTCATCTACCGACATTTTCTTTTCTTCTTCTATTTTCAGACAATTTTTTCTTATCATTTCCATAAACGGCCTAATTTTGGAAGTATCTGTCACTATTTATTTCTTCATTGTTAGTAAAATGTAAATTTCTTCTTAGCTGTTGGTACCGTTTTAACTGCATAACATTGGCTATTTTGTCATATCGCAAATTTCGACTCCAGTAGTCCGTATAGCTGGCATTTGTGTTATGCCCATAAGTAATTCGATGGCTATAAAATCTTTAATTTCATCTACATTTGTTTCTAATGACTCCTGGTTTAACTGTAAAGAGTACCTATTAGTTTCTGTTGTTAACATTTCTAGAATATCTTTATCCACAAATTTATCAAAATATTTCTAATGGAGTGGCAATTTTTCCCGGCATTGTAAAATTCTCAGAAAGCGACTCTACTGGATAATCAAAAGCTGTCTTCGGACCAATCAAAAACTGTACGTTTTTATATTTTTTCGATCCTGTACTCTTCTTAGATTTCTGACTTCTATCTGGACATCTTTGTTTAGATGTTAAAGTTCAGTGGAATGTTGCTTTGTGACTTACATTCGCTACTTCTTTAGAGGCACGTGTTTCTTCTGCGTTTCCTGACTGTATTTCTTCTTCTTCTTCTTGTTCTTCTTCGATAACTGCATTTGTTTCTTCGCTATGTAACTGGAGATCAGATAAAACATCAAATTTATTTATTATCTCTTCAGAACTTTTAACGTTAACAAGGTTGATATAGTTATGAGTGTCCCTTAAATCTGGAATATTTTCCACAATTACCTTCTTAACTGGAATTGAAAAGTCTTCCAAATCCTCCTCTATGTCAGAATCAATATATTTTTGTGGAATCAAAATATTACTACTTACTACCTTCGCATCATCACTGTCTTCAAGAGTAGTATTTCTAAAAATTCTGAACAGTTTTTTTTGTTCTCGATGATACTATCTGAAATAGAAAACAATATATAAATATATAATATTTATATAGGTATAATATTTTATTATACAGCGTGTCTACAAGTTGGGAACGTTGGAATCTAATATCGAACTATATATTTTATTATTACTTTTGTTTACGTTGCTTAGATAAAATATAAACAGTCTTCATGTGCCAACTTCAAATAAATTTTATGGATTCATAGAAACCCCTACGTAATCGTCGTAATTTTACGAAACAATATGCATATCATAAAAAGTTCTGCATGGCCTAAGTCTAAAACCTAATGACTCAACCATCATATCAACTTTTATTAAGTTTATACGAGGTATGTTAAAAAATATGAATTTTGCGTAACGGTAAAGTAAGGTTTATTTGTCTCAATATCGAAATTCTTATTATGAAAAGTTGTTTTGAAAAAGAAAAAACTATGATCAAATATGCAATTAAACGCTTCTAATTAAAAAAAAAAATTGTTGTATACCCAACATCGTTTATTTTAATTATTACACATATGATAACTCTTTTATTATTAAAAAACATACAGAAGTTAAAACACTTCCCAATTGTATTTTGGTAAAAAAACATATAGTTAAAACTTATATATATATATATATAGTATATATATATATATATATATATATATATTATATATATAAACTAAACTTTACGACTCTTTGGGTAAAAAAACAGCGTACTCTTTAGTCTTTATTGATCCAATATTTCGTTGATAGTCATCGACAGGGACAATAAGGGATAAGCTACAAATAGTTTCACATGAAAAATGACAATCTATTTTAATTAAGTTGATGGTTACTACGATTTTGAGAATATTGCCGGTAAAAGCTGCTCAAAGTTGTAAAATTTTTTTTTTGTGAAATATTGTATAAGTTTTTTTCACAAAAAGAAATGTAAATTTACAAAGACAGTTTACATGACATGTAGTACAGGATAAGAATAAAATAAAAAGATGTAAAACTCTCTAGAGAGGATTTTTTGTCCTATACCTAAAAGTTAAAATTATACATTGTCTTTGTACCAGTCTTTGTAAATTGATATTACATGTTATTCTTTAAAAAAAAACTGACCAGCTTTGACGGCAATATTCTCAAAATCGTAAGTAACATCAACTTCATTAAAATAGATTGTCAAAGAGTCTTCAAGTTTACTTTATTTTCTAACTTAATCAGCTGTGATTAACATATATATATATATATATATATATATATATATATATTATATATATATATATATATATATTATATATATAAGGATCACTCAGACGAGTGGTGGGTTCTTATATCGGTCTCAAGGTGGAGAAATAAAAGACAAAGTTGATAGGCTACTTTATCTATTTTGAAAACGTTTCGCTTTCGAGTTTTAAAAGCATCATCAGTTCATCTAAAAAGTACAATATGAGAACCACACAATCATGGAAACGATGTTAACTGTTACCGTAAAAAGACATGTAGCAGTCAAAGTTATTTACAATAATGTGAATGAATCTTAAGTAAATGGACATAATACGCTGATATTGTATAAACAATCAAGTAACTAACAACATATAGGAACTTATAAAAAATTAGCGCAGCAAATGACCATGTGGTTTAAAGTAAATGAAATATTATTTAATATTAATTAGTGAAAAAAGAACCAGATTCACTAATTCACTAATTAATATTAAATAATATTTCATTTACTTTAGATACTTTAGATTTATTTTGGTCATTTGCTGTGCTAATTTTTATAAGTTCCTATATGTTGTTAGCTACTTAATTGTTTATTCAATATCAGCGTATTATATCCATTTACTTAAGTTTCATTCACATTATTGTAAATAACTTTGACTGCTACATGTCTTTTAACATTAACATCTTTTAACATTTAACATAAACAATTAACATCGTTTCCATGCTTGTGTGGTTCTCATATTGTACTTTTTAGATGAACTGATGATGCTTTTAAAACTCGAAAGCGAAACGTCTTCAAAATAGATAAAGTAACTTATTAACTTTATCTTTTATTTCTCCACCTTGAGACCGATATAAGAACCCCCACTCGTCTGAGTGATCCTTATATATATTCGATTGACGGTCGTACTCCTTTATCCCATATATATATATATATATATATATATATATATATATATATATATATATATATATAATATATATATATATATATATATTATATATTATATAATATATATTTTATGTATATATATATTTATTTATATACTATATATATATATATATATATATATATATTATATATATATATATATTTATATATATATCTATATATCTATATATATATGATATATATTACTATGATAAAACAATAATTAAATTAATTATGATCCAATTAGCTAATTAAAACAACAAAAAAATATTTTGTGAATTTATTACGAGTATGTAAATTAAATTTATTAACAACGCCAATTTCATAAATTCAATATGTTTTCAATTCTCCAAAAAGGCCAACACTTCAAACAATTCACAAAAGTCGCTGTTCTCGAATCGAGGACCGCTACCTGAACAGCCAAAATAAGTAGGTACACCGTAATTACGGACCGAACGAGATTAAAATGAGTAAAGAAACATTTAGTATTAAAATATTATTTTAGATTTAGTTTATTTTGAGCTGTCTCAGAAAGGTGGTCAAATAAGTGAAATTAATAGTTATTTTGCATTATTACAATGATTGCGATAATTTGAGATTTCGTACTGTTAATAATATTTTATACCTGAGTATAATGATTTCCTTATCAGAAGTCCTTGGTCCTCATTTCGCGCGATTTTTTCAGGTATAAATAAAACCTTACTTAAAATTTTATTATTGATCCTCAATTCGTGTCGGCACGCCAAAAATTGTGTATTATACAAAAATATCAGAACACAGACTTTTAACTATCTACTAATGACTTGTTTCCTGGTAACCGATATTAATCCTTGAAAAATGTAGGCAGATTGTATATTTCAAATATAAAATTTTATTTACTTTAAACTAATCCTTAATAAAATGGTAATTTAAAAAGTAAATCCGAAAACGTTAAATCGAAAATTGAAAAAGTCTCCTTTGTTCAAAAAACAATATAACTTCACAACACAACAAAATTAAACCGTATATCTAAACATGATATAACTATAAACATGATTTCACAAAAAATTTTTGGTCTTCTTTTTCTCTATTAATTTTTCTTTATACACATATTCGTATTATATATATATATATATATATATATATATATATATATATATATATATATATATTATATAATATATATATATATATATATATTTATATAATATATTTATTTGTATATATATTCTTGGAAAGGGCTTTAGAGTCTATGTGAATGTGTGTGAGTGTTTTGAATATATATATATATATATATTTATATATAATATATATATATATATATATATATTATAGGGTGGTCCTAGTAAGTAATTGTACCAAAAAGAAACCGTAGATTCTACACTTTAAAATATTATACGATTCAAGCCAATTTTTTCTAAATAAACTGTTGATATTAACTGCATACATTTGCACTTAACTTTTTTTGCTTTTTAAGTTACCGGTGTCTGTGATAAAAAATATTAAAGATACATTATTTTAACAAAAGAAAGGTATACTTTTTAATAACTTTAAAACTCAACAGTTTTCGACATAATCGCAATTTTACAAATCAAATACATAATTCAGATTTAACGCAATTACTCCAGGCAACGAAAGAAAATTAAAGAAAAACATTAATACTTTTGAATTTTGGTATAAAAGTTAATAACAGTATTAACAGAGTTTTAAAGTTAAAAGTTTATTAACAAGTATACCTATTTTTTTGGTTTAAAATAATGTATCTTTAATATTTTTTATCACAAACACCGGTAACTTAAAGAGTAAAGGTAAAGAAGTTAAGTACAAATGTATGCCACATATGTGGCATATGTGGCGCCCTCTATTAATTCCTGATATTCAATAGTACCCAGTTATGAATTTTTTTTATACATAAATGTTTACAAACATGAAAAATTATAGCGAAAATTAAAAAATTTCCACTTTAACACTCTGTATCTTTCAACATTTTATTAAAGAAATTTGGCTTAAATCGTAATATTTTAAAGTGTAGAACCTTCGGTTTCTATATATATATATATATATATATATATTATATATATATATTATATATATATATATATACATATATGTATATGTATATATATCGGTATATATCTATATACATATATTTATATATATATATATATATATATACATATACATATATATATATATATATATATATACTATATATATATATTATATATATATATATATATATATATGAAGATAGACAATAATTGCATTTGATTCACAAGCTTTTGGAGTACATACAATAAATCAAAAATCCACGAAGAAGATAAATTTTTGTATCTGACTGTATACCATAAATCGCAAATTATACAACAAATCATTACAAGCATAATATACCAAATGTTTTTATCACTTTTCTGTTAATCCTCTAATGGGCAAAGTATCTAATAAGATACAATTAGTATTTGTCCGTATACCGGGTAATGTATCAGAAAGATACTTATTCAATTTTCTTCAGTACCTGGCAATGTACACTCGAGGATACAAACTAAATTGTCGCTTAACTGGCAATGTGTCTTCGTAGATACTACTTTTCAAAGTGATCCTATCTGTTTGTTTATAGACAAATTGTGATATTATTTTATACAATTATTTGCTGAAGACCCAATTAACTATAATTATAGTTTACCAATTCATACAATAACTATTAACATATAAAAAATTAATTTACTTACCGAATGACACAAATTAGCACTTTTTTTGGAAGTCATTTTGAGCACGTCTACACCAAATACTCTCTGATTGTGACAAAACTCTGTGTATGGCATTCAAATTAATTTGTTGGTTAGCCAAATGCTATAGGGAGAGGGTAA